CAGGGCCTCCCGTAGAGCACTGCTGCCTCGGACCGCAGCGTCCCAAGGCCCAGAGCGGTGCTCGGACCAGACCTCCGCAGGGCGAGGTCCCAAGCGACTCCACAGACGGCCCAGCCAGGTAAGAAGGCCTATGGCGCGGTCCTTGCGCACGTCAGGCCTTCTCAAAAGAGCAATAACTGCTGTGAGCCATTGCCATGGCCAAGCCACTGCCAGCTCAAGCTGCTGAAATAAACATACTAGCTGCTGGCGGCCCTCCTCAAACAACCACCACACGTCTCGTTGCCGCACGCCGTCGATGCCAGCCGCCTTGGACGGCGATGTGGCTGCCAACGCCGCCTCCAAATTGTCCAGCGTGATTGGCGGAAGCTCCTCATACCGTGCGAGCTCCCTGGCCCGCTGCAGAATTCTCAAAACCTCGTAGCTGTCGGACTGCGGCGGTGACCAGAGCTTGTCCCACACCTCGCGCTTGGCCTCCATGAGCGAGGCCCCCGTCGAAGGTGGATATCTGTGCATACCGAATCTCGCTGACCTCCGCCATCGGATCCTTCACGTGCCTGTGAAGCGCGCCCATGCCGCCAATGGAGCTCTGGCAGACCCAATCACGGAAGCCCTGAAGCCTCTGCCTGGCCACTGCTCTCTGCGATTGCTCCGCAGCCCTGCGAGCAGCTTCGGCCAGCTTCTCCCGAGACTCCTTGGTAATGCCTAATGCCCTCCAGTGTGCGAAGAGATCTGATCCATCTTTCCTTACAGCGCTCAGGAAGAGGTACAAATTGTCAGATAGGAATGGTGGATGCCAAAGCCGCCAATCAGCTCCGCAAGTGCAGGGCACATGGCGAAGCCATCTGGTCATTCCTCACGCAGGCGAACTCGGCAAGAAGATTGGCCACCGTAGACAACCATTTGGAACTGCTGTCAGATGTCGTCACATAAGGCTTCCCTCCATCCATGGTGAGTAGGAGGAGGAGGAGGAGGAGGAGGAGGAGGAGGAGGAGGAGGAGGAGGTTCAAGAGCATGGTCGAACTCGATGCCAGCAGCGACAGCGAGAGGAGGAGGAGGAGGAGGAGGAGGAGAATAGGAGGAGGAGGAGGAGGAGGAGGAGGAGGAGGAGGAGGAAGAGGAGGAGGAGGAGGAGGAGGAGGGGGAGGAGGACGAGGAGGCGGAGGGAGGAGGCGGAGGGAACAGGAGGAGGAGGAGCAGGAGGAGGAGGAACAGGAGGAGGAGGAGCATGGGGAGGAGGGGGATGGGGAGGCGGGAGGAGGAGCGATCCCCACACGGCCCACTGCGACTGCACTGGAGCCGCTCCTGCGCGCAGCCGAGAGCCCCCGCGCCCAAACGGGGGGGCGGCCCGCCCGCGCAGGCCTCAGCACCACCCGCAGCAGCCCCACGGCCGCCACGCCTCCCGCGGCGGCGGCGGCGGGGGAGGAGCGCGCTGGGCGAGCCCCGACCTCCTCGCGCTGGAAGGTGAAGCCGGAGTAGTGGATCTGACGCGGATGGTTCCGCGGAGACAGGCGAAGTGGTGCTTGTAGCAGTTGGCGCCCGGACGCAGTGGTCCGCGCGCTGGATGCAATGGTGGCGCGTGGGTGCAATTGTGTAGAGCTTTCTCACACGCAACTGTTGCCGCCCGTGCAAATTCCAGTGCCCCTCCCCCCCGCAAAAGGTGCATACGATTGCAAACAAGAGTACACATCTCCTACCGCCGACCCATCTCCGCCAGACCCACTACTCCAGCTTCGAACAAGGTGCATTGCTATCTGGGACCTCTGGAGGCCCTTGCTAGCCCCAGGGCAACCAGAGAACGGCTGGGTATGAAAAGTCAGACCATGGGAAGGGGTCTAGGCCTCTGAGGAGCCACGCTGCGAAACAACATCACGAGGTCGGAGGTCTAGGAGAGACGGGGGTGGGCCGTAAAGGGAGGGGTAGCGAAGCAGCTCACGCACATAGGGTCTGGTTAGGTCGTCTCACCCCGTCCGCCACGGCACCCTTCACAGGGATTGCCCCGAACCAGCTACACGTTCCCAAATCTTCACGTGGTGCCGTTCCCTGTGCGGGCGGCTGAAATAGAAACTCAACATGTCAAGAATACACACGCGTAGCGGCGGTCCCGCGGATTCGGCGCCAGGAGGCGTCAATGTACCCAGGAAAGGGCGCCGCCCAACGGCGGGACCGAACCGGCTGCAGCTGCAGACGTCGCACCACCCCATGTCGCCATCCCCTCCCTGTCGTCCAGCACGACTCAGCGGCGAGCCCGAGGCCTCTCAGCAGGCGCGGGGGCTTCTGAGCAGCCCCGCTGCCTTCTGAGAAGGCCTACCCCCCCTTTTCCCCCCCCTTCTCCCCCCCCCCCCCTTCCCCCCCTCTCTTCTCCTCTCCCCCCTCTCCCTCCCCTTCTCTCTCCCCCCCCCCTTCTCCCCCCCCGCGGGGCCCGCCGCCCGACGACAGCAGCAGCAGCAAGGGGGGCGGCGGCCGAGGGCGGCGACGTCCGCGAGGCCAGGGGGGGGCGCGGCCACTCCCCCAGGCGGGGGGGGAGTCGAGGAGGTCGCGAGGTCGGCGAGAGAGGAGCGGGGCATGACCTGGGGAGGAGAGGGCGGGGTCCAGGAGAGACGAGGTCCAGCAGAAGGATGCGAGGAGGAGGACGAAGAGGAGAGGAGGAGGGGGAGGAGGAGGAGGAGGAGGGAGGAGGAGGAGGAGGAGGAGGAGGAGGAGGGAGAGGAGGAGGAGGAGGAGGAGGAGGAGTGGGTCGATGGGGGGAGGACTGCGGAGCAGTCGTGATACGAAAGAGGATCGAGGAGGTCGAGGAGGAGGAGGAGGAGGAGGAGGAGGAGGAGGAGGAAGAGGAGGAGGAGGAGGAGACGGAGAAGGGTGAGGTCGGGGAGGAAGAGAAACTCCAGGACCATGAGGAGGGGGCAAGCGGGAGAAAAAACGAAGATCATGAGGGAAGAAGCGGAGCATTAAAGAAACAAAGATAGCCGAATAAGTTGCCACGATGCCACTTTAGCCGGGTAGCCAACTGAGTTGGTTAAGATGCCACCTTAGCCGCCTACATGGAGGGCAACAACAAACAGCGCATGGGCGGGCGAACACGGAACCTGAAGGAGGAGGAGGAGGAGGAGAAGGAGGACGCGACGCATGAAGCATAAGAAAGAGGAGGAGCAGTGGACAGCATTGTCTGGTGAAGGGTCGCTAGGAACTGCTCTGCCCACAATCAGACAGCCCAACTTCCCCAATCCGGGTCGCACCAGACACCAGACCACGACGAGAGGAAATCAGGAGGCAGATGGCCAGGAGGAGCAAGAGGGGGCGGATAAGAAGGAGGAGTAGGACGAGGAGGAGGACGAGGAGGAGAAGGAGCAGGTGGACAGGAGGACCGCGGAGGAGGAGAGAGGAGGGAGGAGGCGGGGAAGAACACGACGCCGACGGCGGCGGAGAAGGGGCGGACGACGACCCCACGAGGCCTCCGGAGGCCAGCCGAAAACCTGGGCGCCTGGAGGCCCCCAGAGGCCTCCGAAGGTCCTCAGGTCCTCTGGAGCCCCCATGAGCGCCCCAGAGACCTCGATCCTCCATCATGCTCCATCCCCGAACCTCCGTGGGCAACGGCGACGAGGACGAGGACGACGAGGACGAGGGCGACGATGGCGGCGACGACGGCGGCGGCTGCGGCGACGAGGGCACCCAAGGCCGGCGAGGGCCGCCGCTGCGGCCGCGGGAGGCCGAGGATGGCCGCCGAGGAGCTGCGGGCGGCGGCGGTGCGGCGGAGCGCCTAGCGCCCCCGCGGGCCGCGCCAGCGGCTCTCGCCCCGCCGCCTCGCAGCCGAGCTGCCAGGAGTGGGGCAGCAGCCCCTCGGCGCCGGGCGGGGCGCCGGGCGGCGGCGCCGGGCGGCGGCGGCCCACGGTGGCGAGGGCGGCGACCCAACGGAGGCGAGGGCGGCGGCGGCGGCCGCAGCGGCGAGGCGTCTGCCTTCTGCGCCTGGCCTCGCCGCCTCCTCCTCCTCTCCTCCTCCTCCTCCCCTCCCCTCCTCCTCCTCCCCCTCCTCCACGCTCCTCTCCTCCTCCTCCTCCTCCTCCCCCTCCTCTCCCTCCTCCTCCACCCCCTCCTCCTCCTCCTCCTCCTCCTCCTCCTCCTCCTCCTCCTGCCCCTCCGCCATGACCCGAGGGAAACACTTGTCCCCCCCTGTGTTATCGTTCGCACCGGAACGAAGATAACTGATTCGCGGGGGCGGATTTAGCGAAGCGACATCATTCGCACCGCACCGAGGCGCACCACAATAAATGACTATCCCCCGGGGACCGACATCAAGAACGCAAGAGCCTTGAACGCCGAAGATGGTGAACTGCCAACACCCTGATGGCCTGGCCAGTGAAAACCGCGAAACATTATGATAACAACGATGATGAACGACTTCTGTGGCGCTGTCTCCTTCTGTGGCGCTGAACTCACTGAAGCGGGCTAGAAACTGCCTGAGAGCGCGCTTGAACAATCGACTCCTCCTCCTCCTCCTCCTCGTCCCCCTCTTCCCTGTTCTCCTCCTCCTTATCCTCCTCCTCCTCATCTTCCTCCTCCTCCTCCTCCTCCTCCTCCTCCCTGTCCTCCTCCTCCTCCTCCTCCACCTTCTCCTCCTCTCCTCCCTGCCCTCCTCCTCCCACTCCTCCTAGTTCCTGAGTCTTTTTCTCCTTTTCCTTCTCCTTTTCCTCCTCCTCCTCCTCCTCCTCCTCCTCCTCCTCCTCCTCCTCCTCCCCCTCAGGGTGCCATGATGACGCTCCAAGGTGCTTGGTGCGTTTATCGTTTCACCGGAAGGGGGGCGTCATACTTGCTTCATCGTGTTGCCCCCCGCCCCCCCCGTGCTTTCCTCTCCCTTTCACTCCCCCCCCCCCCGCTCTCCCTCCCCTACTCATATCCCTCTGCCTCCTCTTCACTGCCCTCTTCGCCCCCCGCCGCCTCCCCCTCACTTCTGCACTCATCGACTCCCCCCGCCCGCCTGCCTCGCACCCGCCGTGCCCCTCTCGCAACCCGCATATCTTGCCGATCCTACCCTCCCGCCCGCTCTCCTGTCTCACGGGAGCACGGCGCCCGTGCACGCGTGCACGCGCGTGAATGTGGGCTGCGGCGCCTGCGACAGGGGGCCACGTGCGAGGCGCACAGTGTACCCGCAGCAGGCAGGCGCACACGCCTGCGCGCGCGCGTGCGGGCAGGCGACCCAGCGATCGCCCTCCTCCGTGCCTGCGGCCTGCGCGCTCGCGCGCTCGCACGCTCGCCCGCACACTCTGGCGCTCGCGCGGCGGCCCCGGTGAGGAACAGGACAAGACTACGAAGGTTCGGGGATGATCGGCTGCCGCTGCTCGGTCCAGAGAAAAGCCCGTGCCGCGAGACCGCCGCGGGCATGGTCTCACTTCTCCATGTCCTTGTCGGTGTACTTTTGGCCCTTCTTGCCCTTCCCACCCTTGCGGTCAAGGAGAGCCTTGCGGTCCTTGTCGAGCTTGATCTTGGTGATCGTCACCTTCGACGGGTGGATGCCGATGGGAACCGTCTGACCGTTGGCCTTGTCGCGCGTGACGCGCTCGATGTGGATGCGCCACTTCTTGCGGTACACCTGGGTCACCTTGCCCTCCCGGTCGTGGTAGTGGCCCCTGACGATCATCACCTCGTCGTCCCGCCGGATGGGCAGCGAGCGAACGGAGTACTTGGCGCGGAGGTCCTCGGAAGGGGGCGCGGCGAACAACCCACGCACGCGAACGCTGAACGGTATCCGCATCCACGCCCGCGCGATCTGGAATCTGGGGCGCGATCCCCGTGGATGCGCGTGCGCATGACTGCGTTCCGCGCGGGGGCATCCGCGAAAACAGAAGACGCCCGGCAGCCACGGTGGGCGCGGTCCCCAGGGGGCCCGAGCCCGCGAGGCCGTCCGCGCGGACGTGCCCCCTCCGCCGCCGTGCCCACGCCCCCCCCCCCCACACACCACACACACACACACACACACACACACACCCCGTGCTGCCCCGCCGACGTCGGAGGCGGAGGGGGCAGGGACGAGGAGGGGGGCCCCCCGAGCCACGCCGTGGGAGGTGGAGGGCCAGGAGGAGGGGGCGTGTGGGGAGCGGGGCGGGGCGGCCCAGACTGGCATCCCCCACCGTCCTCGCCTCGCCATGAGGGCGAGGCAGGGCGGGGGCGCAGGAAGAGGGAGCGGCGACGCAACCACCACCCGCATGAGGCGCCAGGGAGGGTCCTCCTGGTGGTGTGGTCCCCCCTCTCGCTCGAGACCCCCCCGTCCCCAGCTCGAGGAGGCATCGTGCATCCCCTCGCTGGAGCAGGCCCCCCTGGTGGTGGTGGCGTCGCCTCTTCTTTCCCCGAGTGCGAGAGAGCAAGAGAGAGAACGAGGAGGGTCGCCTCTTTCTGTCGCGGAGGGAGCAGAGAGAGAGAGAGAGAGACGAACGTCTGTGGGTGGGGCGTTGGCCTCATCCCCTGGGGCGGGGGTGCACTCCATGGCGAGGACGCATGGCAATAACGCGGGGCCCTTAGACGACGACGTGGAGGCGACTGCGGCTGCCGCCGGGCCAGCAGCTCATGGGACCCGAGGCCGAGGGCCGGCCAGGAAGGCAAGGATGCACGGGGGCGGCAGCGCGAGAGGCCTGCAACCCTCGCTGTCGGCCCCGGCCGAGCACGCATGCCGCCCCGTGTGGGCCTTGCTCAGCGGCGCGCTCATGAGCTTCCTGCGGACGTGCGACGGCGCCGTGAAGTAGGCCTCGCGGCACGGCGGACGTGGCACTCTGCTGCTCCTCCTCCTCCTCCTCCTCCTCCTCCTCCTCCTCCTCTTCCTCCTCCTCCTTCCTCCTCCTCCTCCTCCACCACCTCCTCCTCCTCCATCCGCTGCGCTGCGGGACCGAGGGAGGGGGCCGAGCGAAAGCGGGGCTGGCACCGTCCCGGCGGGGGCAGCGCTCGGCACGCTGCCTCAGCCGCGGCAGGGCAGCTCCTCACACGCGTGGTGGTGCGTCCTTGCCACCTTCTTCCGCGCACCGCTATCGCCCCGCGGGCGCGCCTCCTCCCCCTCCAACCCTCCGCCTCCTCCTCCTCCTCCTCCTCCTCCTCCTGCTGCTTTCGCGCATCGCTCCCCGCGATGCGCGACACACGATTCTCTTCGAAGCCCCCGCGCCGCCACCGGGATATTTACAACAGAGCGCTCTCTGGCCCAGGCCGCGACACGTCAAGAGCCCTGAATTACCACGGCGCCTCCGCGGGTGACCTGGAACACCTTGGCGCCCGACTGCGTGCTCGGCCCCCCCTCCTCCCTCAACCAGGCCCAGGCCCCCGGCGACATGGAGTGTTTTTTGGGGCAGCCAACAGGCTCCGAGACTGCTGTTCCCCAGACCTCTCCAGCAGGGGTGCGTTCCAGCCAGGATTCTGAAGCGAGCCCAGCGGTGGCGAGGAGGGCCTCCCGGAGGCCCTCCGAGCGTCGAAAACGAGGGATGGGTAGCGGCATTGGGTACATTCCTGGAGCTTCGGGCGCTCCAGGCTCAATCTTTCGCACCGGTGCTGCTCCGCGGGGCGTGCCCGGGGCCCCCCCGAGGCGGACCTCCCTGAGGCCTCTCTGGCGCCGTCCGCTCGCGCTGCGGGCGGGCGGCGCCAGCGGATGGTGCCGGGGGGGCGTCGCGGGTCGCTAGTTCACAGCCGCCGGACACCGAGCGTAGCTGCGAGGCGGAGATTTATGCATATCCGCCGCCTGGGAACCGACGTCATGGTGCCCCAGCGGGCGGCGGATATGGATATATTTCGGCCCCCGGGGGCCCGAATATGTCCATATCCATCGCTTGCCGAGGCTCAGAAAACTGACCCTCCAGGCGGTGGTCATGCATAAATTCCCGCCCCAGAGGCATGGGCTGAGAACAGCAAGGACAACAGCAACAAAACAACAACGGCGCGGACCTTGCGCGACTTGCGGCGAGAGATGCTCACGGTGGCCTTCTGCTTCATGGCCTCCCCGACGCTGCCGGACGGTCGCCCGGTGCCGCGTGCCGATTCTTGTTCGAGCCAGTGAGGGTTCCTGGAAAGAGGGATGTGGAGAGAAAGGTGGAGGAGCAGAAGGAGGGGGAGAGGGGAGAAGAAAAGAGAGCAGGATAAGGTGGAGGGGGGAAGGAGGTGAACGGTCAGGAGGAACATCAGGATAATCATGATGAGGAGGAGCAGGAGGAAGAAGAGGAGGAGGAGGAGGAAGAGGAGGAGGAGGAGGAGGAGGAGGGAGGGTGAGGAGGCAGGGGAGGAGGGGCGCACGGAGTAGGAGCAACACGAGCAAGATGAATCCGGGCCACGAGGGGCACAGGGAGCACAAGAGCGACGAACCGAGGAAGTCGGAATGCTCGAGCGAGCGAGCCTGAAGGACCATTGCATGGCTTCAGAAAGGGCTCGACCCCGCTTACTGCGACTCGAGCGACAAGGCTCTGCGGCCTCCTTGGGCCACTCTTTCTAACGGGATTTGGGCACGAAGCTCGACTTGGAGCAGGGCGAGTGGAAACAACGGCAGCTCAAAATCGGCCCCCAACGCAGCAGCTTTCCGAGCTGCGTTCCGACGCGTGGCGACGAAGGGGCCCCCCGAAGGTGAACTACCGCTGTCTCCACTCGCCCTCCTCTGGTCGACTGGGCTCCTCTTTGAGGCCTGGGGGCCGTGAGCAGAAGCGGGCGGAGCATACGACGGAGGCGCTGTGCCTGCAGGTGCGACGCCGGCACCGCCGCGGGCACTGACAGCAGCGGGTAGCCGCCTCGGGTCCCCCGCGCGAGGAGCGGCCCAGCCGCCGTCCTCGCCACCGCTCGCCCCCACCGTCGCCGCCGCCGTCGCCGCCGCCACCAGCCACCGCCGTCGCGCCGCCGCTCGCCGCCGTCGCCGCCGCCAGCGGCGTCAACGTCGGCGTCGGCCTCAGTGGTGCTGACCGCCGTGGGTCGTCCTCGTCGTCTCCGACGGCCACGCCACCGACGCCCGCCTCACGCCCTGCCTCGTGCGGGGCGGGGCCTCTCTGCCGCCGCCGACGCCGCAGCCGCCCCCCTCCGTCGCCATCGTCGTCGCCGTCGTCGTCGCGCCGCCAACGGAAGAAACAGCCCGGGCCGTCGTCCGCCTCCGTGCTCCGCGGCCGTCCGCATCCTCCCCGCCTCCGCCCCCTCCATGCTCGAACGGGCCCGAACGTGGGGCCTGGAACTGAGCGCCGCCGACGCCGACGACGCCGAGGACGACGACGACGACGACGACGACGAGGACGAGGACGACGAGGACGAGGACAATTTCGACCACGACCACGACAAGTAGGACGACGACGACGACGACGACTACTACGACGACGACGACTAACACGACGACGACGAGGACGAGGACGACGACGACGACCACGACAAGGAGGACGACGACGAGGACGTGGACGAGGACGAGACGAGGACGAGGACGAAGACGACGACGACGACGACGACGACGACGACGACGACGACGACGACGACGACGACGACGACGACGAGCGATGCTCTGCTGCTGGGGCGAGGAGGGGCGGGAGGGCAGTGAGGCGCGCCACGACCGGCGGGCGCGCCTCCCCGCGACTGCAGCCATGTGCCGCCCGTGGCACGGGCAGGGGGATGGGAGCCAACGGTGCACGACGCGGCGATGGGCACAGCATTGTCTTATCAGGCCCAAGATGTCCGGTGACCCCTTCCAGCGCCCGGAGTCTCACTTGTTTGCTGGGACCTCTCCCTCTTCTCGCCAGCTCCTCCTCGTCGTGCCTGCTGCTCTGGCTCTCCTGCCCCCCTCCTCCTCCTCCTCCTCCTAATAAACTCCCCACACCCCCTTCCACCAGGGCCAAGTAACGTATATACATAATCCATTACTCAGCCTACTGTCCAATAATGTAATAATTCACCGTAACAGCCAATACAAGACTAAACTTCCTCTTACACTCCTCCAACTCCAATAAAATAACTTTAACTAGCCTCATCACCATACCTCAGCCTCCCGCACCTCCAACTCATTACCTCCGACCCCCTCCTACCCTACCTCACCCTTAACACCTTACATAAACACCTCCTACCACTTCTAACCCCTCCTACAACTCCTAACCCTAATAACATCCTCCATCATACTCATACCCTTCCCTCTCAACTCTACTACATAGCCCCGCAATGCCTAATTACTCACCTCATCATTCCTCTTCCGTCCTTGATCTCACTACTCCCATATTCCCAAAGCCTGTACTCCTCATCGTCTCCATACATCATAGGCACAAGCTTCAACTCTTCAACAAGAAACGCTAGGCCTCCCTCTCATCCACGATTTACTAAACTTAATTCCTCCTAATACGCCTACTCCTCCTTCCTCATCCTACATCCCCATCCTCATCCTCCTCAACCCATCATACTCCTCCTCCTCCTACTCATCCTCTCATACCCTCATCCTCCCTACTTGACCGCCTCACCTCCTCCTCCTCAGTCCACCTCCATCCCCAAACAACTCCTCCGCCTCCCCTCCCTACTCATATCCTCCTCCCTACTCCTATACCCGCCTCTGCCCTCCTCCTCCTCCTCCTCCTCCTCCCCTCCTCCTCCTCCTCCTCCTCCTCCTCCTCCTCCTCCTCCTCCTGCTGGTGTGTCCTCTCGTGGTTTCCCTGCTCCCCGGGGTAATTAGCCCCCCCTTACGGCTGCAGGACCGCCCCCTTTTGCAGCTCCCGCCCCACCCACCCCCGAGCGATGCTCTGCTGCTGGGGCGAGGAGGGGCGGGGGCGAGGGCTCCAGCTCCTGGTGAACGGACGAGCCCGCAGTCGCGAGCTACGAGCAGGAGGGAGGGAGCCCTGGCCCTCCTCGCGCCGCGAAGTCAAAAACCGGTGTGGCCTCGGCGCTGGCGGACGCACGGCGCGGTGGGAGCCTGGGCGGGGACACCGCAGGGCCAGTGGCACGCCAGCGCGCGGCGAGACGGGGGGCGCAGGGAGGCCGTGCAGGGCCTCGTGGGCCGAACGGCGGCCCTGGGCTGTGGGCAGGAGCCGCGCGGAGCAGGCGAGAGCGCCGCGAACCAAGACTGACCAGAAAGAGCGTTTAGTAATGATAGCAACAATAATAATTCGCCGGCCCAACGGGCCAGAGGCGTGCTAAGATCTCCGGTAACTGGTTAACAATTTTCTAGTTCGCGCGCGCGGGGCGGCCCCTGGGGGTCCCCGGACGAAAAGTACCCCGACCAGGTCCCGGCCGGTCCCCGGCCGGGTCCCGGCCGGGTCCCGGCCGGGTCCCCGAGCGCTCCATGAGCGCACCAACAGGGCTCCGAGACGTCCCCGAGAGCCCCAAGAAAGGCCAAGAGGCCCCCAAGAGGCCCCCAAGATGGTACACGAGGGGTCCGACATGCCACAAGATCGCTCCAAGACGCCCAAGATAGCCCCCAGACGCCCCAAGAGGCCTCCAAGAGCACTCCCAATAGGGCCCCCGGAGGCAAAAATCATTGTTTTTCCATAGGTTTTTGAGAGATTTTGGAGCTTCCACCTTTTCGGCTTCCCGACGCCCCAAGACGGCCCAAGAGGCCCCCAAGATCGCCCCAAGAGGGCCCAAGAGGCACCCAAGAGGGCCCCAAGATGGCCCAAGAGGGCTCGAAGACGGCCCAAGAAGCCTCCAAAACGGTCCAAGAGGGCCCCAAGAACGCCCCCAAAGGGGCCCCAGAGAGGGAACACGAAACAACATTTCGAGCCCTCGGCCCTAAGAAGCCCCTACGAGGCCCCTAGAGGCCCCAAGAGGCCCCCACGAGGCCCTCAGGAGGCCCCCAAGAGTCCCCCAAGCGGCCCCAGGAGGCCCCCCAAATGCCCCCCCGAGCGCCCCAGGAGTCCCCCAAGCGGCCCCAGGAACCCCCAAAGCGCCGCATTGACACCAGGCCCTCGGGCAAACGGCAGACATGAGACTGTATGGGCCGGCGGAATGAGCGAAGCGATTAAATAATAATAATAATAATAATAACAACAACAACAAGAATGTTGATCATAATCATAATAATAATCATACTAGTCATAATAATGATAATCATAACACTAATCATAATAATAGTATTAAGTATGATGATAATGAAAGCAATATGAAGAAGAAGAAGAATCGATAAGTACAGAAATAAAGAAAGAACGAAATACCGAATATTAAATAATACATAATATTATTACTCATACTACGACTAATAATAATATTACGGATAAGAATAATAATGATAGTAGTAATCATAATGACACTAATACGAATACAAATAATAATAACAAAAAATAGTAATGGAAGTACGAATGCTACTACTATACCTAGTAGTACGAATAATACGAATAATACTAATGTTAAAAATAATACTAGTACGGTTACTAATAGTAATACTAACACTAATACTAATACGAATACTAATACTCACACAAATGCAATTACTAGTACTCATACTAATAAGACTACTAATACAAATAATAAAGATACAAAAAAAACATCATCATCACCATAATCATCATCATCATCATAATCAGCAGCAGCAGCAGCTGCATCATAATCGTCATAATCATCATCAGCATCATCATCATCATCGTCATCATCATCATCATCTTCATCGCCATCACCATCCTTATAATCACAATCATCATCACCATCAGTATCATCATAATCATGGTCAGAATAACAACAAGGATGATAATAGCGATAATAATGTATCACAAAGCTAAGATTAAGAAAAATCAATACGAATAAGGATAATGATAAAACCAATAATGATGATAGCCAGTATAGTCATGAAACTTATCATCATACAAATACGACACAGAATAAGAAGAAGAAAATAATGATTATTGTAAATATTGTGTTTCGTAAAAAGAACCAATAACGATGCGAATAAGTCGCTTGCATGTGTTGTTCAAACACAAAAAAACAAAAAAACAACAACAACAACAACAACAACAACAACAACAAAAACAACAAAAACAACAAAAACAACAACAACAACAACAACAACAACAACAACAACAACAACCACCACAATTACTAGCACGTGGGGACACTCCGTTCTCACCAGTGCCAGGGTT